AGGAATGGCGGATCAGTTGTTGTTGACTCGGCCTTTAAGGTGAGAGGGGCAAAGTATCTCATTAGAAGCCAGCAAAATGATCCGGATATATTCCCCACAATGACAGAGAACAATCACGCTATTGTACTTAACCGAGAAGCCACAGCAGTTCGACAGTTGTCAGAATGGGGTATGCGAATGATTCAGGGGCAATTCCCAAGAATGAAAGAAAGAATGAAACTGGAGGAACTTAGTGAWAGGAAGGTTATCATTAACCTCATGTTGTTGTTGTATAATTATCAGTGCAGCAACGTGGGCATTAATCAGATCCTCAACAGCTTCATGAGCGATACGAGTGGCTTTGAATCCTTTGAAAAGCTGAGGGAATCCTATGGGAGGAGACAGATAGGATACTTTGCTTACMAACTTCAGCCCAATGGGGACACCAACAGCTCTTTCCCCGGCTTGTTGTCGTGAGTCATGAGGATTGTCGATTGTCGATTGGTGCAGATTGTCAATTGTCGACCATGGTTGTTTCAGTTATCTAGTAAGTGTAATGAATTACTAATTACTATTTCTACAGTTACTCCTCCAGTTACTCCAGTTACATTATGAAGAGTGAGGAGTGAGCAAAAAGGAGCAAACAATAAGCAACCTACGCGGTACACCGTGTTATTTGAGTTCCTTCCCCAAAACCGGGACCGGTAACTAAGAGGGAACGCGGTAACTAAGAGGGAACGCGTTGGAATCCCACACGATTGCTGGCACGCTTTGGTTTACAAAGAGCTAACTCGCTCGCATGCTTTCGTTTACATAGAGCTAACTCATTGGACACGGGATCCAACGATCCAACAAGTTTTCATGTGAACCTTTTTACATGAAGTATCGCATATTGGATTCCTTTCTTATTCCTTTTACACGTAGTATCGTGTATACTGGATTTCGAAGCAGTATTAGTATTCAGTATTCATAAATCAGTGCAGCGACTGGAGCAAACAACAATCAGCAGCAAGGAGTCGTGGAGCAAACAGCAATCAGCAAACAGTAGTTTAACTTAGTAATCTTAATTCTTAATTTGTATTTGACCATGGGATAACATCAAATCGTCCTCTGAGGAGGAGGAGGAGTCCTCACGCTGTCTCTTCTTCTTCTTCCTCTTCTTTCTGTCCTGGACAAACGTGTTGGCAACAACACGAACCATATCTTTGATTTTTGCCAAAGTATGCTGGTACTGTTGAATGGATGCTTCTTGGTAAGCTTTATACTGTTGCATTGATGCTTGAACAAGCGTTTCTTGGTGCTTCATCGACATGTTGAACATGGATGTGATATCAGTGTTCTTGATGCTGCTGATACTGCTGGAGCCTCTGGAGGCTTTTGAGTATGCTCTCTTGAGGGGAGCACAAGGGCGATGTGTGCTCACGAGGTTGGGAACAATCGATGCGTGAGTTGATTGGGTTGTTTGCTGTGTTTGCTGTGTTTGCTGTGTTTGCTGAGTTGATTCTTGAGACTTGTATTGCTGAGTTCTTTGTCCTTGAGCAAGCTGCACCATCTTAGTTGCAGCAAGCTGGGTTGGTGTCTCCTCCTCAAGAAGCTGAGTCGGCCTCTCGTCAAGCTGATGAGTTGGTGAAAGCGTCTCAAACCAAGGAGTGAGAAGCTCCTCAGCAGCAGTTTCTTGGGTAAGTTGCGAAGGCTGTGTAAGTTGCCAGTGAGGAGGAGGACTTGGGGTCTCATTGTTGTCGTTCTTGTCCTCTAAAGTGGTGATATCCTCACTAATCTTGTATCCTTCTTCCAGATCAAACTCCTCTTCCCCATCTCCAATGGCTGCCTTGGCACCAATCAACTCCTTGATCTCCTTTGCAAGCTTGATCGCTGGCAACATGTACGGATTGCCAGTAGGACTTGTTTTCCTGTGGAGGGAGGAGTACTTCCTGATGATGGAATCCTTGTCTCTTCCAGTCCCCCAGTTGTCTTCATGGGTATCAACAACTTGTCTCCATTGTTCTGGTCCAATAGGAATGATCCTCCTCATGAGTGTCAGCAAGTCCATGGTCTCTCTATGGGTGTAGTTGGTGGAACCTTTGGATCTTCCTCCTTTTTCTTGAGCAATCGACGTTGGACGCCTTGCTCCCCCTGCTGGTGCTGGAGCCGGACTTGCAGCTGTTGTTGCTGTTGCTGGAGCTGGAGCTGGTGGAGCCATGATCCTTCTTTTATGAGCCAGCAAAGAGGAGGATGGTACCAGTATGCTAATCACATATGGGATGTCGTCTTCTTCCCTCTCAAGAGAGGAGCGCCGGGTCTCTTCCCTCCTCTTAGCAAGCGCTTGCATCCTCCACAACAGAAGAATCTGGATGCTTGTATTACAATTAAGTAGAGGGCTCCACGCGCCAACCATCCTCAGCATTGCTGTTTCTCTTTGTTCCTTCTCTTTGTTGTTCCTTCTCTTTGTTGTCATTCCTTCTCTTTGCTCCTCGTCCTGCTGGTGTCGAAGAAAAGATGTGCTTTTTTCTTCCTTGACACTTCTTGAATCGGTTTGCCGCCTGTTAAGGGCGCGCCTGCTCCCGAGACTGAAATGGTTAAGTCAAGGATTCCAATTCAAAAATATGTAAATTTCATATTTCTTGGTTGTCGAGGGCCCACGACAACCAAAATTTATGTATTTTGGGTCATAATGCGAGCCGGGCGTGCCGAAAAGTACACAGATATATGTTATCGGGAATGACCCATTAATAGTCCTAGTAGGTAACTGTAGGAGTACGTACGAACTCGTACGAGTACGAAAATCGGAGGCACCGTTTTTCTCTTTCAAAAGNTTTCCATTGTTTAATTTCTTGCTGGTCCCAAAATATTTCTATTAGTGGTCCTTACTGCTGGGGATATAAAATCAGTGCTTACTAGTGGTACTAGTTCTTGAGAATAAAATTCGTAGTGCTCCTCCTTGCCTTCTTGTTACTAGTAGTAGTACTACTTCTTCTCAGCACCAACAGAACAACCCCCTTACCCAGCAGTTCACAGTGGTGTTCACTAGTAGTACTACTACTACTATGACATCCCAACAACTAGTAGTAGTGTACTAGTAGTAAGTATTAGTAATGGAGGTGATCCAGTACTAGTAGTAGCTAGTATTAAGAACTAATATTAATTCTCAAGTAGTAAGCACTGATTTTATATCCCCAGTAGTAAGGACTGCCAATAATATATATATATATATATATATATATTAGTACTCATTCTTAGTTCTTTCTATCAAGTGGGGGGGAGAGGGAAAATGTGGACGGGAAAATGAGAAACTTGTTGACAGCGGGGACTTGCCAGTGCGGGACATACCTGGTACCATTAATAGTCCTAGTAGGTAACTGTAGGAGTACGTACGAACTCGTACGAGTACGAAAATCGGAGGCACCGTTTTTCTCTTTCAAAAGGAAATTCAGAAATGTTGACGCATCGAATGCATCATCTCGGATCTTCCCTAGTACACGTCTCACTCATCACCTCAGATTCCTGAAAGACAACTAAAACGAGATACCGGTAGGACACAAAAAATAATAATATTGCCAGAAAGGGACGCACCGACTATCTTCTTCGATAGAGACAAACTGCAAACATATTTCTTACGTTAATTTTTTTGGGCTGAATAGCCATCAATCAACTAGCGTACCGTATGCGAAGACTATCGAAAGAAGATAGTGTCTGTTTATATTTGTAGACGAAAGACGAAAGAGAACGATCGCGAATTCGACAGAATGGGGGCGAACCAATCCCACCAAATCCCACCTGTGGAAACTAAGAGCAAAAAAGAAAAAACGTTTTCCACAGAGGGTGCCGGAGATAGCAATGAAGACATGCCAATTTTCCCAAGTCCCACAGGCCACGAGTACGACGAAATCGACAAGCTGCAGTCAGAGCTACCGTCATTGATCGATGAAGAGTCACAGCAACAAGTCGACGACTACAGAGATGCCTGCAACAATGGAAAGGGACCCGTGGTTGCTTGTTTCGCGACGGCCGAATTTCTAAGCATGTTCGAACGAAAACACATGGAAGCTTTCAAGCTTTTCGAAAATACATGCTTTCGGCCATTGAAGGACAAATCGCCAAACGGAAAGGAAGTTGACGGAACCAAGGCATATCCACCGGCTTGTTTCAACTTGGCAAAGATGCTGATGACAGGGAAGGGAGGAGTCCCAGTCGATAGGAAGCGGGCTTACGATGTCTTTGATCGTGCCTGTCGTGGGGGACACGGAGGTGAGCTTGTTTAATTGATTCRATGATATGCTTTCTCTAGTTGGATTGACTCTTTTCCATCTGACATTGGATTTTGTGTTTTTCGACAATAAAATTGGATGTCTTGATAGGGGCCTGTCACATCCAAGCAAAAATGCTGTTGAGTCCTCCGGGTGCACTCGGGAAAGGTATTCCGTACGATCCATACAAGGCAATGGATCTTTATCAAGGRGTTTGCGACATGGGTGACTCGGTGTCGTGTTTCACTCTTGCCACGATGTTGTTGAGGGGAGACAGAATCAATAAGATGGCAAAAAATGCCAGTCCCCAAGAGCTGCAAGGGCAGGAACCTATCAAACAGCGCAAAAATGAAGACGACCGATCCGCAAAGGCCGACGAGGACTTTGAATACATTCCACGAGATCCGAAACGAGCCGAACAGCTTCTGAAATCGGCCTGTAGAACGGGTGCACAYGCGCCAAGCTGTTTCAATTTGACCGTCATGTATCAGAATGGGGACGATGGTGTTCCGGCCGATCCCGTCAAAGCAGAAGAATACAAGAAAAAGACGGAAAAAGCAGTCCAAACACTGGGTGGATTGTAATTTTTGGGGGTACTGACGTCCCCTATACGAGCAGAGAAGCAACCGAGTAACGTGTAACACTAGAACTTCATTCGATTTTGCAATAAGAGTGGATTTTTGTATTCACGTATCGCGTATGAGTAACATATTTTGATGATGGGTAGTCGAACTTCACAACTTTTACTATGTGTAATCAATTCTTAAAAAAGAAATGGAACCATGTTCTTCCTAGAAGCCGGCCATTCTTTGTCATCGAATTTTTTCCTGTTCCATTGGTTTTGGTTGTAGGATCTTGCACACAAATAGCAAGTCATGGATACCAGGTTWAGGACGCTCGTTAGCTGCTGCGAAGCCAGAGCGATCCCCAACCACGCAATGAGCTCAAAGAAATAATGTGGTGCCGCGACATATTCAAACAAACCTCCTCTTGGCGCCAGGTATTTTTTCTTTTCGGACGTCGATGAATCCGAACGCAACAGAGAAAGCAGATAGTGGTGAAAGAAGTTTCCCAGGGATCCTACGGCAAAACAGAGCACTCCCAAGTTGCTGGTACTACTACCACCAAGAACAGAAACGGCGGGATTCGTTGAAAGAGAGATAAAAATGGCCGTCAATGCGTAAGATATTCCAATTAGTGTCGCAGCCGTCAGTTGTGTTTCACCGGAGTATTTGTGTAGGAACAAAACTTCCGCATCCCTCTTCAGAAAGTGCGCCAACAACATCCATCCGGCTAAGGTTGGTGCGATAGCCATTGAGGTGAATTTGGGCAGAATAACCTGGATAATGAATGCTGCAATAGTGGCGGGGACATAAATGATCAACATGCCAGTCCTCGATGGTACCATGCTGGGAGCCGATGATTTCGCTGCTGCAGAAGATTCATGTGCGAATTTGCTGTAGGGCATAGGCTTCTCTATCTCGCCATTGTAGATAGAGCAAATGCCAAGAAACTGGATTACATTGTAGGTTAAAAATCCCGGATTCGCATTGACAAAAGAAGTCACCGCTGGTTGCAACTGAGAAATGGTGGCAGGAATCATTTTTTCGGAGTCGAGAGGAGTTTTCAAAAAGTGAGAAAWAGTATCGGTAGTGCGGTGCTCACATTCGCATTCAGAGCCACGGCAAGAAAAAAATAATAATTTAGGTACGACTATCTACAAAAACCAAGCCCCTTACACTAAAGAGCCTATCAGCATTTCGCACACAGTTGTCCATCGCAAAAACAGTACGGTAGAGGGTTGACTAAGAATCGGATAGTACCCTTCCGGGCGGTACTGTAATGACGTGTTTTGTGCGTGGAAACTGAGAATCTCGGTCGTGTTCCATTCCCGTCCTGCCACAAAACTCCGATGATGGCTTAGAGTCGATCTAGTCGATTCATTTGAAGACGGACATCAAAAATCTCTCAAAAAAATTTAAATCCARCCGCATGAATTTTTGACTAGACATCGCTGCGACCTTCAGCACTATTTCTTCAACCAGCTTGAAAGAAACTTTTGAGCGATTGGCTGATATAATTCTGGGCAACCCGTCTTTGTCTATCGACGCCCCGTATACTRAAAAGCTGATACGGTGACGATGTCGACAAAAGAAAAACACGCCGCAACAATGGCGAACGCCACCGCGTGGATGGCGGTTCGTCTTTTGGTGGTATTTGCATTGCTTGCTCCGACGCAGCGATGGTTTGCGGAGGGCTTGCAGACCGGATGTCCGCCGCCGCTMCGGCTCAAGAAGTTGCTCGAATCGGAGATGGACGGTACCCGGGATTCCGACAAGCCAATCCTGCTTCCCTGTTGCTACGATGGTCTTACGGCCCGGCTCATCGCCCGGGCAGGCTTCGACGCCACCTTCATGACCGGATTCGGTGTATCGGCCGTAAACGGATACCCCGACACGCAGCTTGTATCGTATGGCGAGATGCAGTCCCAGACCAACATTGTAGCGGAGGGCCTTTCGAGCGCGGCCCTGGAACTGGGGAGAGACCCGATCCCCTGTATCGCGGACGGMGACACCGGGTACGGCAACGCTGTGAACGTGAAACGGACCGTCTTTGGGTACGCCCGCGCCGGGATGGCGGGGATCATGATCGAGGACCAGGTTTCACCCAAGCGCTGCGGGCACGTGGCCGGGAAATCGATCGTTCCCCTCGGTGAGGCCATCGCCCGGGTAAAGGCGGCCTGCGATGCCAGGGACGAGTACGAATCCCAGTTCGGCGCCGGGACGGGGCCCCTCGTCCTCGCGCGGACCGATGCCCTCAAGCCGGAGGGATTCGAGGCCGCCATCGAGCGGTGCCTAGCCTTTCAGGAAGCGGGGTGCGACATGACGTTCCTGGAGGCGCCCGAGTCCATCGAGCAGATGGAGGAGTACTGCCGGAGAGTGAAGGGACCCAAACTCGCCAACATGCTGGAGCAGGGATGTGAGTGCCTTGTTTGAAGAATTAGCGACCCGCCATGGCCATTTTCGAGGAATCGTTCGTTTGTAGAACCGCCAAAGGAACGGTGGACGATATTCGCGGTGAATTTGAAACCAATGTATTCCTAGAAYAYCCGCGGTGTCTAACTCTGGTTCTCAACCCTTTTGATTTGATTCCRCCCGTCGTTTCTTCGTCGTCACAGCGACCCCGGTACTGTCSCCCCAGGAACTCAAGGCAATGGGCTACACCATGGCAGCMTATCCCCTGACWCTTCTCTCCGCTTCGATAAAGGCCATGACSGAATCCCTGGAACGCATCCAGCAGGGCACRGCTACGGACGACATCATTTCTACTTTTACAGAAACAAAAGACGTGGTTGGCTTCACAAAGTATGCATCGGAAGAACAACGGTACAAGGCAGACTAAAATCAAGTATTAGCAAACAGCACAAAGCAAGTACGTTCAAGTGTGCTAGTAGAGATCGTTGAGAAAGTATTGTATGCGCATTGCCTCGTTCATTGAATGGGAAAGCATTTAGTCAAAATTTTCCAGAAGCGTAACAATCCGAAGAGGGACCCTTCAGCAGCTCATCACTTTGCGCTGATAGAGAGATCGATTGCRTTGCTCGTGCCGGGAAGACAAAATGGGTATTTTCCAATCCAGAATCGATTTCCTAGTTCCACAAAACCACCGCCATCGTGGTCAGCCCGGAGATCGAGGCCAGGGCCTTACCAACGGAACCCGCGGCCGATGCTTCCACCGAGTCCCCGGAATCCGACGGTTCCAAAGCTTCGTCTTGGTCGCTCGAATGCAATGATTCGACAGAATTTTCTTGGTCATCTCCACAGCTGCAGGTCGCGTGCATGCAAACCCATTCCATACCGACTCCCATTCCGTACTTTCCCAGATCCACACAGGCGCACACGGCCGAGTGGTTTCCTCCCGTTTCGCAGTCCGAATAGGGGCACACCTCGTCCCCGGGCCGCCCGGTCGGATGGATCGCCGTGTCGCAGGGAATCCCTGTCTTGGACTGCATCGATTCCGTCCCGACCGCAGCGATCTTGCCCCCGTCGTCTTGGAGGCCCCGGCTCCGCTCGGAGACCACCTCTAGCAGGCCCAGCCCCTTKGCCACGGGCACCAGGTCGGGGCAGATCTTTTCCGTCGTCGAGGGCCCAAACGCCACCTTGCCGTTGCACTGCCATTCCCACTCGCTCAGGGACTCCCCATCGGCCAGGTTCGGGGCACAGAAGCAGTCCTGTTCGTCCTCGCCGAGGGTGCAMCCGGTTTGGCCGGCCACGCGGACCTCGCCGCGGTAGTCGTAGCTCAGAAAATCACTGGAGGTCACGCCGCACTTGTCCCCGTTTCTGGCGGCAAGACTGGTCTGGGTTGTCGACGAGARGATGGTGGCAATGGTGAGGGTGGTGAGCGAAAAKCGGATCATGGTTGCGGGGTGTTGAATGGGAACGAAACAATGCGGTCGGGGATTGGTGGTTGCACGAAGCMAAGAGAATGCCGAAATGGCGTGCCAAAGGCGGTTTTTGGYGTCGTGTTTTGTCAGGGGAGGGAGGACCGTCGGAAGGTYGTCACGTAGAAACAAGTACGAGTTCCCTTATCAATCAAGGAAGTTGTAACGAATCGTGGGGAGTGATAGTTAGTACCGAACAGCATACTTATTACAGTAKAATTTCAAAGATTACGTAGGTTCATGGTAGTGTATGTAGTGTAGCATTCTTATTTTGTAAGATGCCTTTATTTTTTGGATTAGGTCTGACGTGTTAGCGCCATAGAAAACCGTTATTGAAAAGGTATGCCATCTATTTTTTCATACAGGAATGTACGGTTAATCTAGTCACCAAAAAATTTTGGATCCAATCTGAAATCCGAAATCCGAATCCCGCCGTGGTCAAAAATACTTGGATCGTCCTCCAGACCCTCGTCACCATAACAAAACTGCAAAATATTGGTGTTGAATCCTCGTATTCCCGTCCTCCGCATTGGATCTAACGCCCTGTTCCCAAGCATCACACCAATTTTTCAACAACGTCGGTGAATAGTATAGTATTGTCGTACAAGAATACTGCAAACTACCCGATCGGACACCATGATTCCCGATGACAGCAAATGCGTGGTAATCGGAGCGACCGATCCGAAATCGATCGGATTCGAGGTAGCGTGGAGTCTGCTGAAGGGAGGAGCGTCCGGCGTGGCCATTGTGGGGCGCGACGAAGCGAAGCTGGTTCGGGCAACCGATCTGTTGGAGGAAAAGATGAAAATGGAGGGTCTTGGCCACACCCACCGCAATTGCGTGCTCGGGGTCCTGGGGAATCTCAAGAAACCGGAGACCATGGCCGGGGTGACCCAAAAAGTCGTAGATGCGTGGGGCAGAATCGACGTTCTGGTGTGCTGCGGGGGAAACGGCAACTCAGAGTACCTYGGCCTCGATGTGGAGGATCCGGAATCCTATCGCATGATGCAAAACGTGGCGGTCGTGTCCCCCATGTTCCTGGCGGAGGCTTGCTTCCCCTACCTGTCCAAATCTCCGAACAAGCACGGGGGCACCGTGGTAATGGTGGGATCTGTAGCCGGTGCGTTGCGTAGTMTCTGTTGCAACGCGCTGGTTTGTGTTGCGTTGTGTTTTGRGAACAGCTCAACTAGAATCTTCCATCGCCGGTACTGTACAACTGTCTGTGGCGCGGTGCGGCGCACAACGCAACACACAGTATACCTCTCACACCACAAGAAACATTTTTTTCGTTTATCGAACGCTTTCAACATKTTGCTATGCTCTGCATTCGAATCTTACTTATCACTCGATGCAATACACGAAACTATACTCTCGTTCACAATGAAATGACAAACGACAACCAAACTAACCCCAAAGCCAATGTCCCCTGGCCCGCTACGGCACCCTACAATTTCGCGATGGCGGCCAAGAACACCATGATCCAGACGCTCGCGTTCAAGTACCGCAACAGCAACGTCCGCGTCAATGGCGTGCTGGCAGGGGTCATCCACACTGGGGCCCTCGACGTCATGGCTGCCAAGAAGAATCAATCGGTGGAATCCTATGCGGCGCTTCGAGCCACCGCCCAGCCCCTCGGACGGAACGGAACCCCGGAGGACGTGGCAAACGCCGTGACGTACCTTGCATCACCAGCATCTGGCTTTACGACCGGGGAATTGCTGCGGGTGGATGGCGGACTACACCTGTCGAACTGGTGGAACAAGCCGGTGATGCTGGACCAATATGGTAACGGGACAAAGCGCAATAAGTAGGCAGCGAATGCTGCTCAGATGGCAACAGCGATTTGCACTATTACAGTGACGATGCAAATATTGTCACATTGGGTTGACAACGATAGCAAGTTACATACTAGAAGAAAGAGGATGAAAGATTTTCGATAATCACTGAAACTATTAGTAGTAGTAGATATAGTAATTCACGATCATGATCGGTCGTGAAATACTGATTGAAAGATTTTCCACTCATCAATTCTACTTTGGTGGAAACTGACTTGATAAAATCATGCAACAATGAGTAGTAGTACTTCTGGTGCTCAACCTTAAATACACTTTTTAGTAGAAGTAGAATGACTTCTTGTTCCTCAACACAAGTGGCTTGTGGTGCTAGTACTAGCACTACTACTATGTAGGATTACACAAACTATCTCCAAGTACTGTTCATTATTTGTTCCCCCAGTAAAGGTAGTTGGTATCCACACCAAATTGTGCAAAATAAAGAAGTATCATACACTCTTACATAATGCTACTGGTGCTTTCCCTATCGTCCTAAATTTCTTTCAATTTTCTTTCAACAAACTTACTATCCCCCAAAACAAATAGGATCCCCGCATTCCCAATAACCAAAATGAACGTCATCCTCAACAAAACACGCACATCATATCGTGATTTTTAGATGATTCTTCGTTCGTCGTTTCGTACAGTACAAGTACACGTAGCGATTGTACTGTATTCGTGATCGACCGTGATGCCGAAGAAAGAAATCAATCTATCTCACTCAATCATGCATCAAGTTTGAACGACGGAACCAAAGAACAGGAAAACGACCAACGAACATGACAAAATTACAGGTAGCGTTTCTTTTGGCAGGTGCGATGGCATTTCCCTGCTRTGCGTTCCAGAGTGGTGGTACCCTTCGTAATCAACACCTCCTTGGTGATTGCGCCAACGCAGCGGGGAGGGCCAGTGCTGTTGCTTGCTCGGCATCCAGGCGGGACGTGTTTTCGCAGMTTTTTGTTCCGGCTACCCTGGCATCAGTGGCGCTGCTAGCTCCCGCTGAACAACCCGCTTTCGCTGCCAATGACGAGGACCTCACCGCAAAAATGTTCAACGCCGATGGGTCTCTGAAGGAAGGCGTGGAGTCCGAGGTAAAATTCAGGGACGTGAGTTTYAAGTGGGACCAATCGGATGCMTTCGCAATGAATGAGGACGGTACTAACGTACAAGAAACCAAATCTGGATCCCAGTATGAACTATCCTAYCAGTATCCGATGCGCTGGTCGGACGGCAAGGACGGGGATCCGATTTACTTTGACAGGTCCGAGGGAATCAATCGAAAAGCAGCCAAGCGCATCACCGTCTTTCAGGCTCCAGGATCGGTGACGCCAGATCGGCTCGAGAAAGCTACTACTATCGGGGTGGCAAAGGCRATCGATGCCCCRCAGGAACTCTCTCGACTTTACAAAGCCGACGTCGTTTCCGGAAGAACCGTAGAAAAAGGAAACCAGAAATATTTCGAATTCGACATGGCGTCTGCTCCAGATACGTGCGGAGATAGCAAGGAAAATCTTGGTCTAGGATTCTGCCCTTATGGTAAGTTAAATTTCATGTCCTATCGTGTTGGCCAGTAGCTGCTTTGGTAATGACGTGACAGTGCGATGGTCATCTGTTTGTATCGATTCTTGAAGACCCGTGTCGTGACAGCACGTACGGTAATCTAGTYRGACGTCCATTTCGTTCTCCCATCGTCGCGTCTTCGATACTCAAACTAACGCTGCTTTCATTTTTTCCAGATGATTTGTTCCTCCTCTCCGCAACTGTCGTGAACGACCGTTTGTATTGCATGGTGGTAGAATGCGACAGCACGAAAGTTTGGAAACAAGAATCGAAGGAATTGAAACGAGCGAGATCAACGTTTGTGGTCGATGAAGCGACGGCGTAAAAAGTAGAAACGAAAGAACCATTATCAATCAACGTTTCAGTTTGCGACTAACTGCATTCAATTGGGGAAACCCGTTTGATGTCACTCGATTTTGTTTGTCCTGGGTTCTGTCTCCCACCGAGTAATTCTTTCTTCACCGTTTTTATCCAAAAAGTTAGGCATCTGATATTTGCTATGAAACGCTCTAACTTGGCACGAAGTAATACATAAAACATATTTGGGTGATAGTAATAATAGTGGATAGATTATGTTTTCGTTCCCTACATAAAAATCTTTGCTTCTACCAAAATAGCAGGCGCCGACCAATGTACCGTTAGATTATTCGCTCGCCATGATTGATTGAAATGAAAAGAATTCGAGTGCTTCTTTTTTGGTTTTTTAGTTCGATGAGGTACAAATAGCAGACACCGGCAAACAATATAGTCTGCCGAGTGTTTTGCCCGCGATTGCGTTTGTTGTTTGATTGGTTTCTTGTTTTTCAAGTTTTTCTTGTTTTGTTGTTGATCTTTTTCTTTCAAATAAATTGACATTCCATCTTGTGCTGACTCGATCGCCAGTCATACACTTGGCATAACTTGCTGCAGTACTTGGCTCTACAGCACCGGCTGCACATTTTCATTCTCGCGACGCGATCCACTTCTACGCCGTTTTCGTTCCAGGCCAAAGCCTGGGTAACCTTAGGAGAAGGCGACAAACCCACACGACGATCTTTTGAGAGGTAGACCGCCACCGAGTCGAAAGCGTGGTAATGTGGCCTTCGATGCAATCGACCGAAGCCAAGGCTGTTGCTATTGTTCGTACCAAGAAGTCTTTGGATTCCCCCTCCACGATGAGGGGAAAGTGTTCCTTCTTCGTTATTGTTTGAAGGAGACAATGTGTCCAGCATGTTCTCGTCCACGTCGTACGTGGGCTGGACTTGAGCTGCTGCTGATCTGCGCATTCGCAGGTTTACTTTTGAGTTATTCRCACAACCGCTGTTGCTTGACGCTTTGTAAGCCCATTTTCCGCAGAGCGGATTCCAGCAGTGACTGGTATTCATTCCTCTGAGCTCAGCTGAGTTGACATAGTCACGCAGGAGCAGACGGTTCAAGCCGACCGGATCCAAATGTCTGCGGAGTTCGTCCGCATTAGGTTCTCCGAAACGTTCCTTCATCTCCCGAGCTGGAAGGATTTCTTGTAATGCTGGAAAGTATTTTTTTGCTGCTGCAATTTCCATAAACTTTGCAGCCTCGTCGGCAAGCGCATCACGAAGTATGATTCCCAAAGTGTAAGAAGAACGGACAAAGCCTCGGGTCGAGGCTATTTTCAACATGAGAATGCCGTTCTTCAAATCCTGATAACAATAACATTTTACAATGCCCAACCTGCGTGATCGACAAAGACAGAATGAGTGTTTACAGTGAGCATTTGGTTGTTGTTAGTGAAGATAGCAACAACAAGCTTCCATAAGATCTAATATCACTTGGAAGACAGTACTACCATGTGATCGAAGAAAAATTTCTTTGAAATCAATCCCACGTCGTGTAGAGCATGGTACAAAATTAACGTAAAAACAAAACTTACATGTAAAGAGCTTGCAAGTTGCCAGCGCGTGCAAATGGAGCAAGTGCTGCCGAGGCAGTTGCAGGGTTGTCGTTTTCTTGAATAATACCTCCCTTTCCTGTTTCCAAGTTACCAAAGACATCTACTTTCGAGAGCATCGGGTCGGAGTTGGAGATTGCCTGGAATAGCTTGCAGGTATTTTGCAAGGCATGGCGGTCCTCCGTTGAACCCAGGAAAGAAAGGCAATGAGCCACAGCATCACCRGGTAGTTTCTTGATCAAGTCCGAATTTTGGGACTTCTTGAGATCCTCGTGGCATTGTACAGGTTTATGGCAACAGCAGTCGCAAGTTTCTTCAACTACTGGTGAAGGTGTTGAAGGAGAGGAAGCAACAAAATCATCAATTTTGCTCTCTCCCCGCATGCGTTTTCGTGGTCTATCGTTTTCATCGCTATTTTCGTGCCCTAGCACGCGATTTCCGCACGCGAAAACTCCCGTAGGAGGAACAACGAGAAGAGGCGTCCGACTGCCACCAACATTGTCTCGACGCCTCTTTCTCACCTTGTCTTCTGACATCTCAGACATCTTTCCACACACTCCACCATCTACCGCAAAGTTGAACAAGCCTTGCGGCAGCAACGAAAGAAAGGAACCCCCGATCATTTTCATGCTTGCCACTCGGCTCCCCACCGCCAGAGGGCTAAAAGCTTGTGCCTTTAATCCCTGATTATTCAGGGGGTTGTTTTATGTCGTCTATCATCTGCTGCTACTCGAGCAGACTGAGTTTTTGGGTGTTACGCGCGTTAAAAACAAAATCCCGGTTGGTTCGAAGCGGTTTTTAGTACTAAAAGTACAGTACGTAGGCATGCAGCACTCGACTTTGGCTCTGTGAACAGAAAGATGGCGAAATGTCGCTAAATTTGTGTTATATGGACAACTGCGAGATAGTAGAAGGACTTAGTAGTATGTACGATAGGGACCTACCTACCTGTACAATGCTACTGCTATTACTCATACTTCCCCGAATTTTGCTACGACCTCGAAGACGTACCGTAGTACGTCCCCACCCAGTACAGGTATCTTCTTCCTTGGCCATCCTTGACGGTAGTACCGTACTACGAGTATCGTACGGTACGTAGTAAGCCTCATCTCCTCATACTAAAGTACTACACTTAAAATAACAATTGAAATTACATTAATTAAGGCATTGGGAASTGCAGGAACATTAATTTAACATTCCAAATGTTAGTGTCAATGTACAGAATGTTAAGTTAACATTCCATACGTTAGGGACATACGCCTATGTAGGATTTGTACTATCTCCTGTTGGCGGCATGCCCAGCAGCACCAGCTGTTCAGCATCTTGCGCCAGCAAGATGCAACCGAGATCGGTCTTCTGGATGATTTGTAGTACAAAATCTGTGTGTTCAAATTTGTACTGTAGCCTACTGTTGTGACCTAAAACTGCCTCCAGTGTGCTGATTGCTAAACTGTTCTTTTCATTCTACTATCTAAAAGAAACTTGGTTCAAAGAAGCAACTGACCATGATGGGAAAAGCTCTATCTCAAGCACTTCCACTCAACCTTGAACAATGTACTTGGTATCAATCAATAGCTCTCTTCTATTGCCAATTTAACAATCCTTGAACCATAGTAGCAAACAAGCAAGTGTGCCAGATTTTATAGTGTGTTCACCAGTGTAGCTTCTTTTTATATGACAACAGCTTCCGTCGGCAACAAACAGCAACATGAGCAGGAAGGATCAAGCTGATGAGGTTGCAACRCTCAGAGCCAACACTGGGCTATCTAGACTACCATAACAAGAAAGATCTGAGAGGCCTTGTCCTAAAAAGGGAGGGAGTAGAGGATAYGATGCCCACATTAGAAAAGAGGAACTCCTGGTGGCAATGAAAGCTGCTGGTCTTCCTCCTATTTGGGCTAGTGCAGCCTCGCTTAGTAGATTGTCAAAGAGGTATGAGCACTACAGGAGAACTGGCAAGAGGAGCCAGGGCAAACTGGTGGGGTGTGATCTCTTTAGCATGGTTTTGTTTGCTTGGATCTATCCAGATGCAACCAATGATGAGATCGCTACWTTTATGTTCAACAGTGGAGGACCTAACTACTCTAATGCAGYCATCAGCAGGAGGTYGAACAAGATGGATCTTACAAGGAAGGAAGCCTATCAAGCRTTCACCCCAGAGAGTATGTGGAGGGCCAAGATCTTTTGGACCAATCCTCCTCCTCTTGGAGTAGTTGGAGTTCCTACTAGGAGGAGGTTCATTGATGTGGATGAATATGGTACTATGGATATGACCAAGACCAGCAAGAGCAAGAAAGGAATTGCTCTCAAGTGTTGCAGAGCACAGATCCCTGGAGCTTATCAAAGGATCCAGAAGCTCACCGYCATCCTTGCTGTGAAGGYGGGGGATCTGTGTCCACCTCCAGACACTAGAGGAAGTATCCAAAATCCTAGAAGGTGGATCAATGTGATRCAGCAGGTAGGGACCTCTGCTACAGTCTTTTCACACTTTATTGATAGGATTTSCAAGGACATTGAGACCAATCCAGTRCCTGRTGATACTGATAAGGAGAGGATCTTCCTGTGGGACAACCTTGGCTCTCATCTGTCAACATTGGTGGGTCTGAAGATTGCTATTAGACCAGATCCTAAACCAACTCTATTCAGATCTATTCCTAGGCCTCCTTACCAGCCAAAGTATGGGCCCGTGAATTCAAGATCTGTGATCTTGTATCAGCAGTATCCAGGGAGGCCAGGCCTAATTGGACTAGTACCAGTGATCTTGAAGCAGCAATCTACAGGGAGGCTGGTAGGTCTATCAAAGGGGTTGATGCTACCTTTGATCATTGTGGATACAGCTTCAATGGAAACTATTAGTWGGCGATAGCAAAAAGCAACAACAACAGCCCCTTGATGGTCTCCACCAGCAATGAAAGCTGGATTTGTGGGGTAGTTGCAATAGACTGGAGCAATCCCCCGGAGCGTGGCTTGCTGGTGAGTCACTCCTTCTGGGCCTATCAAAATTGAATCCTACTGGAGAGGCTTGGATTCCAGTCCCCTGCAGGAACATTTTTCCTTGCAGCTTCTCCTTTACATGCTCAATCAATTTGGATGAATTGACTAGATGGATTGAAYTACAGTTGGTTGAATTGATTGACCAGCATACTTAAGCTGAAGAGGGATGGATCCAAGGCAAGGTCCTTCCCTTCTACAGCAGTACTATTTGTATACAGTTTATCTTTAGTAAGAATACTTTCTACCAAGAGTAGTTGCAATAGACTTGAGAAATACCCTAAGAGCTAGCTTGCTGACCATGTGACTCATCTGGGGCCTACAGTTCTAGAATATACTGGTGAAGTGCGTCTGGAATCTAGTTTATCTTTATGGTGTTTCATATCTACTAATTGCACTAGAGGAACTGCTCTGACTTCCACTACCACTACCAAAGCTGCTCATACTATCATCATTCCTCTTCTTCTTACAAGCCTTGCGTTCTTCCTAGTAGCCATGAACCTGGAGGAGGCTCCTTCCTTTCAAAGACTGGGGAACGCTTCCTCACTTCAACAGACATTCCTAACACCAGCTGATTGCAACCAAATAGGGGCTTGAGAATCCACCAGTATTGATTCAGCTGCTACTGCTACCGGCATACAAGCTGGCAACTGAGAAGCAGCAACAGCCGGTACTRTCCAATCAGCTTGTACTCTTGCACTGGCAGCCTGCCTCTTTAAAGTATTAATCAAGCCCTCAATGGTTTCCAATACTTTATAGGRAAAACAGCTTTGATAAGATCCTCATTGAGCTTGTCTCTCATTCTAACCAGAAAAGCTCTCTTTTCTTTCAGTGGAAGATCCTTCCTCCTGACCAGTGCAGCTTGTGCTGTYTTGAACAAAGGATAGGATGCAGCTGGTGTTGTTTCTGGAGGAGCTGCTGGTGCTGGTGCTGCTGGCGTGGCTGGAGGAGCACCAGGAGCTTCTTGTTGTTGCTGATCCAAATCCAAATCCTCTACAGATGAATCATCTGAGAGTATYCCATCATCACAGCCTCCTAGAGCTGTCCTTAGCTTCATCAGACCACCATCCCTGGCTTCTCTCTCTTGTGTATTMATTGTATGTGCTGGATCTTTGCACATACTGCTGATTGCCAATGTTGGAAGCAGTTGTTGTAAAAAAAGAAAGTTGCACTGAACGCACAATAATGTGGATTCTACTGGGTCCTTTCCTACAGTTCAAGGCTTTTTAAATCAACAATTAAAGAGAGCTATTGATTGGTACCATGTACAGTGTCTGAAGTTGAGTGGAGGTTCCTAAAATAGAGTGATTCCCATGGTTGGTTGCTATAATTTCAATTGTTATTTTACATGTAGTACCCTGCAACAGTAATTTGAAATGGGGTAAGAAAACAAAATAGAACACATGCACGGTGTCTCCACCTTACAAAGAAACACTTTTRCCTCCATAAAACTTTGCAAGAGCATTGTGGTGAAATTGTACATGCTACTGTTCTAGTACTACTACTACTGGTARCAGTACAGTACACCAGCACTAGTACTACTAGTAGTGTAGAAAGACAAAATAACTAGCAATACTAGTAGTACTACTAATAGTACACTTAAGAAGTACTAGTTGTTCTAGTGCTACTAATACTAGTACTAGTATTAGCACTGGCAAAAACAAGTAGTTGTAGTAGAAATAGAAGAAGAAGATAGACTAGTACTAGTACTAGTACTACTAGTAAGAATAGTAATAGTAACAGTAACAGTAACAGTCTATGCATACTGTGCAATGACTTGATCCTACACAGTTTTCTTGTTTCCCCCCTCCTTCACGTGCTACTGGTACAGCAATAGCACATGTTGAAGCAAAAATCAGTTGGATCAAGTGCGTGCAAAACTATTTGGTCACACAACGTGTGGGATTAAAAATTCAAAACTACTGAGCATCCTGATTTTATACGCTTTTAGTTTTTTGGTCAAAGTAGCCATTACACAGAAAATAAGGNTAATAGTAATAGTAATAGTAATAGTAATAGTAATAGTAATAGTAATAGTAATAGTAATAGTAATAGTAATAGTAATAGTAATAGTAATAGTAATACAACTCAGCAGCAAAGAGGAGGAACAATCCCCCTGCTGCATTTAATCTCATAGATGACATCACAGGAGTACATGCTGGCTTCTGGTGGTGGAGGCATGTCTTTGACCTTTGTTGTGTCACTGATTTCTAAAAAAGTCTCTTTTACATTTGTGCCACTGACACTGATTCTTTGTCCTAGTACTAGAAGAGAGATATTGCATTAGGTAGTGCTTCAGTCCCAGGAGGAGGCCAAAAAGAAGCAGTACAGTAGTGGTGATGCCTGTCACCACCACCAGGCTAATCAAAATATCACTCTAGTGCTCATCTATTTGATTTATGCTAGGATGGATGGGTGATAGACAATTGCAGCTTGACAGCAGCAACTTGCCTTTAGGTTGGTGGTCTCAAAGTGGGGAAGAATGCACTTCTTGCAGGTATGCGGCTTTGTGAGATCAAGACTTGATTTTGCTCTTGAATGTACTCGTGGAGGGCCTGAAATACCTCTTTAAAATTCAATCAGCCCCTTGGCTGGATTCTGCACTCAGGCCTACAGGTCTATGCATACTGTGCAATGACTTGATCCTGCACAGTTTTCTTGTTTCCCCCCTCCTTCACGTGCTACTGGTACAGCAATAGCACATGTTGAAGCAAAAATCAGTTAGAGCAAGTGCATGCAAAACTATTTGGTCACACAGCAACGTGTGGGATTAAAAATTCAAAACTACTGAGCATCCTGATTTTATACGCTTTTAGTTTTTTGGTCAAAGTAGCCATTACACAGAAAATAAGGGCCCAAAATATACAACTGGTGCATAGATTTGGGTGCACACTCCATATGATAAGAAAGTTTTGCTTTTTTTCACATCTGGTGCTACTAGTACTGGTAGTACTACTAGTAGTAGTGGGCTAATGGTAGGTGTAATTTTAGTATTAGTAAGACTAAAAGATTGTGATGGATCAGGATTTGGGTAGGGAAATGGTGAGCAGGAGAAACAGTGAGGTGATGATTGCTGTCAGTGTGAATGAAGCATTTTCAGAACAAGTCAGCTACAAGACACAAGTTAACATTGAATTTTTGTCCTKTTGATTGTGGTGTGCAGTC